CAGTTGGGGTTTGGGCTCCAGCTAGCGGGGACAGGGTGGGTGCCTTTTGGGCAGAGTCTGTCTCCACCTGGTGGTCTCCGGCACGCAGACCCCCGCCTCTGCGGCGGCAGGGTGCGATCCGGCGTGGGGAGCAGGAGGGGAGCAGGAGGGGAGTGAGAGCAGGAGAGGAGGAGGAGAGGAGGAGGACTGAACGTGAAGGAGCCAGGCACAGCTCAGGACTGGGGCTGCACGGCCCAGAGCACGGCCCTGCCCAGCGCTGGACCTTGGAGAGGCCCGTGCCCACCTGGGGAACCCCGCAAGGATGGGGGCTGCTGGCTACACCTACGCTGCTTGCCTGGGAAAAGCTAGTGGCAGAAAAACAGCCTTCCTTTCCCTTCCCTACTCTTCCTGGTCCTGTCCCACTGTGGGAGAAGGTGTCGGGAGCTGCTGCTGCTGCCACGACTAAATGGGGTGAAGACTTCAATGTGAACCATGTATGTGCACGAGCACAAGAGCAAGCAAGTGAGTGTAAGCCCCAGCACCACGGCGAGTGAGCGCAAGCCCGGATGAGCACAGGTAAGCCCCACAGTGAGAGCGAGCAAGCTTGAGCCCAGAATGAGTGAGCAAGTGAGAGCCCTAGAAGGATGATGACGTCCACAGCAAATAAGCATAAGCCCCACAGCAAGCTGCCCTCCTCCTCCCCCCATGAGCGTGTGCCCACACCAAGTGAGCTGAGCATGGGGCTCCAGGAAAAGTGAGAGAGCGTGAACATGAGCTGACGGCGAGTCCAGAACCCGTCAGCACACAGGCGAGCAGAAGGATGGGTGGCAGTGCATAAGTGCCCGCGTGCACTGGTGCACAACAGCAAGCATGAGCAAGAGAAACGGCGGGGAGGGAGAAGCATCCATCAGCACTGAAGTGCAACAGTAAGCATGATCATCAACAACAGGAGACCTACAGGGCATCTTCAGGGAGGTGTGAGCACACAGAGGAGGGGAGGGCTAGTAAGGAAACAACCATGCGTCAGGAGCAGTGGATCCACTGCAAAGGGCGCTGTGTGCTGGGAGGAGGAGGCTGGTGGGGGACAGCCTACCTGCCAGGCAGCACAGGGAGCGGGGGTGAGCACATGTGCTGGGGAGGGGCTGGGAACACGTGCATACAGAGAACTGGGAGGTGTATGAGATGCAAATGGTGGGGAGCGCACGGAGCATTCAGGACATCAGAGCAGATGCTTCCAGGATGTCAGAAGCTGGGGGAGATGGGTACACTCCCAGCACGAGGAGTCAGGGGAATCTGGGATGCCAATAGTGCAGTGAGAGGGATGGGGCATGGGGCATTGTGAATTTATGTGGTCTGGGTCCAGAGCAATGGCAGCTGTTCACACAGGGTAACATGGTGCAACACATACACGGACTTTGTGGTGGCCAGTTCCACAGACAGCAGACACAGGTGTACTGAGCAATGGTGGCTGGAAAGCACATTTAGATGGGGAGGAGGAGACAGGCCTGAGCCCAGCACCTTTACAGGGGCACCAGGGGGAGAGGAGCACATTTACATGGGGAACAGAGGCTATCTACGCTAGACATGGGGACTAGGAGTATGTGTGCGCTAACAGCGAGGGTGAACTCATGGGCTGCACTAACAGCGAGGGTAAGTGTGTGGGCAGGACTGTGTGCACGCTGCGTGGACGAGTGTGTGTATGGTGTGAAAGCGTGCTGAGAGGCAGGCTGCAATTCAACCAGCAGAGATAATAGCTGCAAACATACCCTGCACCACCTGGGGCCCATGGCTTTGCTGGCTCCCTAATGCCTCCCCTCCCTCCAGGCCCCACAGCAGTTCTCAGCCGCACTGCTCAAGTCACACAGACGCGGGGTTTGGGTACTGGAGCAAATGGGGCCCAGTGCCATGTGCTGGGCTTTGCACAGCACCACCTGGCACAGCACAGCTGGCACCAAACGCGAGCCCCAATCACAAGGGGCTTCGTGCCACGCTCAGGGGATAGGGCCCCAAGGAGAGGAACAGCAGGGGTCACTGGTGCTGTGCACGCACAAAGTGCAGCTCTCCCCAGTAAAGATCAGGGAGCTCTGCTCATGCACACACACACACACACACGTACGAGCATACCCCATGCACACTCCTATGTGTGCAAGGAATGGCTTGCTCTCAGGCGCCCCCCCATGCACACACACCCTCACCAGAAGCAGCTCTCAGCACCGCGGTCCCTACACACACAGAAGGCTCCCTCCCTCCCTGCTGCACACGCACACTCCTGCGGGGAGACCTCCCCACGCACCTGCTCTGCGTCCCCTGACACCCATCCCTCCCTGGCCAGCACAGCAAGGTTCACCTAGAGACTAGTGCACAAAAGCCTGTTGGGCGAGACTGCTGCGGATCCGCTCCCTTCCCCTCTCCTTGCCTGACCCTCAGAAAACTCATCCCAAAGCTCCTCCGATCCCAGTGTCACTTACCGTGAATATGTTGGAGCGCCGCTTCGACTGCTTGCGGATGGGGGTGGGTGTATTGGAGGCAGCAATGGTCTCAATCCGCAGCTCCCGCTGGCTGATGCTAGGTGTGGAGGGCACAGAAGAGGAGTAGTCACTGAATGCTCCTCCACCATTGGTGGCCTAGGGCAGAACAAGACGGGACAGTGAGAGACAGGCAGCTGCCTGGGGGCACGACTGCGGAAACACCTTCCACCTATGCAGCCTTGTGCACTGGCAGCAAAGAAGTGCAGCACAGGACTGGGACAGGGGAGACATCCTATGCCATACACTGCTCCTGCCCATCGGGGGATCCTGGGAAAGCTGTTTCCCTTCTTTCTGCTTTAGTTTTTCCACTGGTAGAATGTTAAAATTCTGAAATCAACAGTGAAGAGCAGCAAATGGACAGAGACACCTGACTGCTGGCTGTTGGCCCAGGGAAGCCCTTCCAGACAAAAGTCTAGAGCAAAGGCACAGAGACAGCAATGAACCACGCAGCCCTGAATAGCAGCAGCTGGCTCTTTTCTCAGAGGGGCATGGCTGGGGATACTTCAACATGCTCCCTCTCCAAAACACAGGACCAGTGCAGCTATCCCTCGGACAGTCTGCTGGTGAGAACCCTCCTCTCCGCAGAGGCTGTCGGACACGAAGCTGCAAGACAGCCCAGAGCCTGCCTGGCTCCAAGTCCCACTTGGTCCCTTCCCTGTCTCATGAAGACAGCTACGATACCAACGGGAATGTGTGTCCCTGTGACTCAAGCCCTCGCCTTTCCAGTGTCCTGAAGCATGAGGTGCCACAAGCCAAGCTCACGCCCTATGTAAAAACCATCTCTGCCACTGGTTTGAGGTTTACCCAAGCAGACCCCAAGGGTGGCACACACCTCTTGTGCCTGTGGACCACCGTGGCCTTGGCTGCAGTGGCCCATGTCCAGGAACATGCGGGACAACGCGCTGTGTCTTCACTAACGACTCGCTTGACTTCAGGGAGAGGGGAAGATCTAACTGCAGTTTGTGCAACCATCTCAATGATGCTTTTCTTTCAGACAAGTAGCTGCTCACTCCCATTCTGCTCACGCAAGCTCTGCAGGCAACGACCTGGAAACGAGCTTACAAGAGGTCCCAAGGAGCAACACCTGCACCAAAAGCATTTCAGATCTGCAGCCCAGTATGTCTTACTACAAGGCATGTGGCAGCCTGAGCTCTCTTTGGCAGTTCTGCTGATCTTTGAACAGTATTTCAAAAACACATTGAAGAAGCTGCCCCTAGAAGGCTAGGAGAGCTCTGGCACACCTTGCAGGGAGTAGTCCACCTCCTCCCAGTTCACATGCTCACAGAGCAGTGGCATCCGACGGCCCCAGGACTTCCTCCACTCCCACCTACTGCTTAAAGCACAAAAGTGCAAGCACGTGCGGGATGAGGATCTGCCAGAGGTGCTCAGTGAGAAAACACCCGCGTGCACACGCCGTGCCTGACGGGATCTGAGCCTTACTCTGAGACTAGCAGTTAAGAAACGTTAGAAGCGTGAAAAGAGGCTGTGCAGGCAGAGCAGCAACCACAACCCACACCCCAGTCTCCTAGAAAGGGTGCAACTTTCACTCAAGCTATGGACCGTCTCACCTCTGATGAGAGGGGAGAAGACACATGAAAAAGAACTTCTTTTAAGAGAGGAAAGAGCCATCCAAGAATCAGCCCAACTTCTTCCTCTCTGAGGCAGAGCAAGGGACTTCTGACTGAGGGCAGCTAAGTGTGCCACAGGGAAATCCTGCTCTGGAAGGACCCTGAGATGGACCTCCTTTACAGCCACATTTGGGGAGCTGGCAGCTGCTTCTAGGAAGTTACAGTGCCCCTACTTGCCAGGGCTGCCCCAGGCTCCAGAGCAGCTCCATAACAGCCTGCCTGCAGCACGCTATCTGCTGCGCAAAGTCAGAGCAAAACACCCTTCCACAGCAAGGAGGTGAAGCCTGTGGGGAGGCACACTGCTCTGACAAAATGTCCTTGAAGGCCACCGCCTCCAGGTGGGTCTGGAAGACCCTAACCCCACGCTGGAGACAGGGCAGCACCATGCAACAGATCCTCTGCAGCCTGCCCAGCTCTCTGATGGCTCAGCGGGGAAAGGGAGCCTAGTACTGAAAGGGACTCATGGGGTTGAGCTCCTACCTGCCGCCAGCCTGGCAGCACGTGTGGCTCAAACTGAGGAGCTGGAAGCCACGCGGCTGCTCTGTGGCTTTCAGGAAAGCCTTGCTGTGAGCAGGTGGCCTCCCTGCAAGTACGGGACTCAGACTGTCCCAAGCCTGTCCGGAGACAGGAAAGCTTCCGGCACCCTGAAACGCAGAATGAGTGGGAACCTGGTCTGCTTGTACTTCTCTGAGTGTAAAAGAGGCCAGGCACTCCGTCCGGAGATGTGAACGTTGCCAGGGAGCTTTTCTGGAGGCTGTCCAGCTGACGAACCCTGGGCTGAATGAGGGAGTTCTGCTGTCATGTCCCAGGGGAGGTGGGACCACCAGGGACACAGAGAAGCAAAGCAACGTGCCACCCTGCCAGTGACTTCTGAACCATTAACAGAGACAGCTTCCTGCAAACCATGGATTCAACACTGCATGAAGAAGTGTTCTGCAAATGCTTGTGATGAAGGCACAGATGCAGAAAGCTAGGGCTACCAAGTCGAAGAGAATTTGCTGAGACAGCTCAACTTTAGGATCAGGCATAACAATGCCTGTACAATCAGTATTTAACTGATGCATAATGTGTGAACCATGTCAAAAAACCAAAAAGATTCAAAGTGTGAGGGAAGAGATGGCCGATGCTGCAACACAGAGAACCTGCTACCCAGGAGGGTGAGCCAGACAAGGCTACCAGGAGTCCAGAAATCACTCTGAGGTACTCTCCTGGCTAAGCTCTGGATATTTCAGCAACCTTATCAGCACATTTATGAAGCTATGACTGAGGGAAGGATTCAGTTCAGAAGAGGCTGTAGAGTTTGAGCTCCTGCCACAGCAGCTGGGACAAACCCTATAGATGTTAGGTGATGGACCCTAAAGCTCCCAGGAAGAAATCTTACTAAATTGTGTTTTATATCTTACATACTCCCTGTAACCTCGTTTGTAATTTTTGCCTGGCCAGAATAATTTTCTTTAGCCCATAAGTTTGCCTAGTGTTGGAGACAAGTCAAGGTTACTGTCTTTCTTGAGCGACAAAGGACACAAGCATTTGAGCCTGCTGGTGTCCCACAGACACCCAAACATCAGGAAAAGTACTGGGGCTGAAGGATGTTTCGCACCAAGCTACAAAGGCAAGTGTGAGGGCTGGTACCATCCCACCAGTTTGGGGGCAGAGGAGAAATTCCCCCAAAGGCAGATACACAGGCAATCCTGAGTCACCGCACTGCTCAACTGAAGCAGACTGCTCCAAGACTTCAGTAGGGATCCAGGGACCAAGAACAAATCACAGGAATATGGGAGAGCCCTGACAAGATGACAGCTCCGGGCAAATACCTCCTTTTTGCTCCTGGCAGCTATTTTGCTGATCCACCTGAACAAACCACCTGTGGTCGCTATCGAAATCTAAGAACACAGCGGAAGCTGAAAACTTAGTAAAACAGATGCGGGACAAATCCTTCCCGTTAGCATGTAATGGGTGGATATCATGCACTTCAAAGAGTATCAATAATACCATAGGGTGCCTGAGCAGGGAAGAACTCAGCTGAAGTTAAGATGTAGTAACTCTTGGCATAAAAAGACATGAGGCAGAACAAGGAGTGAAATTTGGGAAGGGGGCTGAATGGAAGAGTGCAAATGAACAGCAGCCACCGACTCAGTGTCTGCACAGGAACAGGGAAGAAGCCAGAGAAGAGTACAGACCATGAAATGGAAGGCATTGCAAGCTGAGCGGGCTACGGGACACGGGCTTCCACAAGGAAACACAAACACCCATTGATTCAGCTGCTGAGACACACACGCTGACTGTACTCTGCTGAAACGCGCTGCGACAGGCAGGGAAGTGCTCATTACCGAGCACAGATGAGCTGCGGTTTGTTTCATTTCACTTGCAAACTTTAAGTTTCCAGTCCTTTCATCTGTTCTCTTACTAAAGTCTCGGTAAATGCACTTCCTGGTGTCACCGAAGAGCCCGTGCAGGACCGCAGATCAAGGCCATCAGAGTGAAGCCGTTACATTGGGTGGCCCCACACCAGGAGGGCAGCTGAACAGGGCCGCGCATGGCCAGGCACCCAGGCAGCGCAGCGGGGCCTGGCAGTGGCCCCCAAGGCCCGGGAGGCTATGCAGTTCACTCCACCAGCCTGCAAAGCTCAGCATGGGGAGCCTGTGTTACCTCCTGCCAGCTGCTGGGAATGAGTTCCCTGGCAGAAAGACAAACTTCCATCCCACAGCAAACAGGCAACGGTGACTCATCCCACAGCCTGGGGTACTCCTAAAGGCATCTCTGAGTCCCTGAAGAAAGATGGAGAAAAGGGTAGCAACAGTAAGGAAATCAGGTGGAATAACTCTGTGAGTACTGCAAGCATCCACTGGCCCGAGAAACTCCCACCCACACCCTGCAGGCAAGGGACAGACAACTGCCAGAAGGGAGCAGGGTGGAAGTCAAGGCCAAGCTGAGGAACAGGGCTCCCAAACACATCTAACCTGCTCGCCCAGTGACGGGTGTGGGCAGGACACGGGAGACACAGGAGAGGAGAGCCTGAACCAGCAGGCAAGCAAGAGCTTTCCTTGGGGGCTGCAGGGCCCTAGGGGATCCAAAGTGTCTGTTCAAACGAGTGCAGATCCACATCCCACGAGCCGCTGGGAATGCCCAAGGGACAGACCTGGCATCCCCAAAGGGAGCGTGCAGGACTCCTGGGGTTGGCCCTGGCTCCTGCCACGCCAGAGGAACAGGGAGATGCTGAAGATGGTACTCAGGGTCACAGACCTGACGAGCATGTCTGGCACACTCGTGAGTGCTGGTGGAAAACCCTGACCACAGCTGACCTGTTACTACAGCTGCCTTCCTCTCTGCCTTGATGGGAGCAGCATCCTCTGAGGCACCAGGCACTGCTGTGGAATAAAAGCAAAAAAACCCAAAACTCCCAAAGACAGAAATGAAACCAGGGCCTTTGGCTGGTTCAAGAACTGTTTCATAAAGAGGATGATCCACTGTGCAAGGACACCAAAACACCTCACACAGCACCGCTGTCGCAGAGCCCTACCAGTGTGGGAACCTGGCATGGTCACGAAGGTTTGGAAACTAGCCACCACCTCACACCAGGATAAGAAAGTCCTCCAGACAGACGGGTGACAAAATCACCAGGGTCCACTGGGGTCTCTCCTCTACCAGTAATTGCAATAGACTGGCCAGATTGTCAGGAGACCAGACAAGCAATGGCCATTTCCAAATAAGTTAGTTTGGCTCAACTAGTAGCATCAAACTACTTCCCCAGATGTAGGATGAGAGACAGGGCTGGATTCCAGCTCCTGCCTGCTGTAAGCAACCCTTTGCAGGGACCACTTGTTCCCTTTTCCAGAAGACAAGTGCCTTCTTCACTGACAGCTCCAGAAGACAGAGCTGTCCCTGCCCGCACAGGCCAGGAGACCAGGCACCGAGCAGAACATCCTTCTCATCTCAGATGGCACCACCATCTCTCTGGGCACAAAGCTATGAAGGGAAGCAGACCTCAACCATAGCTACTGGCAGAAGGGAAGAGGGACTATCCAGGGGGAAGGGAATGCTGTTGCTAACAGCCCTCAGAAAGGCAGCCGGCTAAGGGGAACAAAATGCTGTCTGAGATGCCGTAACTGCCTGGAAGTGACAGAACAATGCTGCGACCACATGCAGCCAGCAGTTGCAGGCAACATCTCAAAACCCAAAACCAGGCCCTGCAAGGACAGAGCAGCGTACAACCTCCCAGGGGCTCCTGCTGGCCAAGCACTCAAGATGCAAATGCCAGTCCTGCTGTTCCCACAAGCGGTACTGAGAAGAAAAAAAGAGATCCTTCTATCCCAGTGTGTGTCTTGCCTGCGTACACCAATATCTAGCTGCAGTACAAGGCAAACAAAAGCTCCTAACTGTATTTTTTCCCTGGCTTCTTTCCATCTCATCTCCTGTGTTCCCAAAGCCTTCCTTGAGATCCTTTTCCCTGTGCCAGTTTCTGCATTCTTACAAGGCAGGTAAGAAACCTTGGCAAGAGTCCCATACCCTCAGGTAGGAAAAGACACAACACGGCACTACTCTGCAAAGACCTTGTCACTCTCTTGTTTGTCCTTTCTGACAGCGTACAGTCTGTCCACCTCCTCCCAGAGCTGCCCTACAGGGTATCTCAGTGCCAGGAGCAGAGGGCACCTCCCAGGAGCAAGGCCACCATCACTGAGCCCCACGAGAGGCTCTGGCACTTCTGCAGCCCAGACCTGGAGAACAGCACCTAGCAGGACTCTGGAGCTGTCTGCACACAGCTCTCTCCTGTGTTAGGGACAGCTACTCCAGCTCGTGCTAGAGACCATGCCCTTTGGTGTGTCACCACCATCACAGTGCACTCCTGAGCAGCGATTCTGGGCTCTTTTGCATCCCTGTTGCAATAACTGCCTGGTCACTGTGCTCACTATTGGATGCATGTCCTCCTGCATGGGCAGCAAGCCCATATGCACCGGAGTGCGTGGCTGCTCTGCCCAGGTCCATGTTAGAAACATCAGGAATCAGTGAACCTGTGTTTCTCAAAGCCAGTAGGATTTTCTCTGAGGACAGCGGGAAGCAGCTCCAGAACCTCATTCCTGAGCCCAAGCGAGAACAGGGAAATACTTCACAGTATTTTATGATCACTCATCAGTTCCATTACTTCATAGTCTATTTTTAGGAGAAGTGCTTTCTGTAATGGAAGAGAGATGTGTAAACACCACAGCAAAGATTACTGCAGCAGGTCACCAGGAACCAAAAGGGTTTGTGGTTGAGCCACAGAAGACCCAGGAAACAGAAATTAACTTTGATGCTCACTGTGGCCTCCAGGTTTGCTGAGCGCAGGAGGGACACAGCGTTAGACAGGCACAGGGCATGTACAGGGGAGGGAAGGCAGGAAGGAAGCTCCAGAATGACATGACCTATCATTATTGCTGACACTGCTACAACCCAGGCAATCAATAAATATTTCTTGCTTAGAAAGGCCTCACAGTTAGCTGCAATTTCTTGTTAGCTGCATGCTGCGTTACTTCCCTTTAACAGCTCTGGCTTCCCACCAGAACCACCTAGGTCCCTCCGGCAAAGCCCCAGAAGCACAGCAGGTACTGAGAGTAAAGGTCCTGTCTCAGAGCCAAGGAGCCAGCATTCACCTCTACATAGATGCTGTCTGCAAACCAGGCTGAAAGGTAGTCTGCAGGAAGGAAAGTGAAGTAGGGAGGTTTCTGAGCAAAAACCTCTCACAAAGCTCATGACGCAGTTAGAAACCTCTTCCGAAGCCCAAACCTTGCTTCCCCATGGCCCGTCTTAAATCCACCTCTTTTGTTCTAGCACCTTCTTTTCTTAAAAAGTTCTTTCCTTTCACATCTGTGTATTTTAGAGGTCAGGGTTGGTCCATTTCAGCCTTCACCTTCCTAAGCTAAACAAGCCAAGTGCTTAACTTCTTGCGTCAGGGTCTCTTTTCCCTCCCACTCGCTTTTTGCTGTTCCTACACCAGTTTCAATGCATACTTACATGAGCGACTGGAATCAGACTGAGGAGTCTGGTATCCCCACACCCCTCACACAGAGAACACGTTTTTATCTTCACTATAAACACGTTGCCCAGCACAGCAAGTGCCATTAGTACATATTTGTTAGGACCCTTTTCTCGTACTTTGGACATTGAAGAAAATATTAAACAAATGTTCAGCTCCTCCCTGAAGAATGCTGCCCTTGGCCATCTTCCACCCCACTCCCCCTTTCAGTACAGATTGCCTCTCCTTCCCAATCAGTCTTTGACTGTTTACAAATTGTCTGCTAATAAAATCCTCAAATTACCAGATACAGTCAAATCTGCATTTTCCCTGGACTTTGCTCTCCACCTCGGATGCCTCCTATTAAACTTCTCAAAAAGCACCCGTATCCAGACATACTGCAGGGCATACTGCAGGCAGCCGAGGGGCTCACAGCTGCTCCGGCTACATTGTCTCCCCTCTTTCATAAACCCAGCTGCTACACGTGCTGTTCCTCAGTCTGACAGCACTGTGCCAGACAGATTTCCTGAAGTTCTTGCTACAGATCCTGTAATTTCATATGCCAGGTGCTTCAGAGCTGGAATCTGTTGGCTTGACTGCCCCTGAGGAGCAGCAGAGCCCAGTATCTCACCTGCCTCATCAAGAGAGACAGCTCAGCATTTGTGTGGGTGCTGGAAACTGCAGGAAAGCCCTAATGGAATTAGGCGGCTGCCCAAAAGATCTCCTTCACCAGCCACTCACCGTGGCTGCCTGCTTTGGATTTTGACCTGCCCCTCCTGCATCAGTTCTGCTTCTCCAGAGTCACAGAACAAACACCTCTGGCTTCACCATCCTCCCGGCACAGAGACCTTGGCAGTCCCTGCCAAGCTAACGCTATGCCAGAAGAACTGCACAGAGCCATTCCTCTGGCAGAGGGGAGGAGAACCTCCTCCTCCTCTGTGCTACTCCTTCAATTCGCCCCTCCACAAATACATCCCCTAGGAAGCCCACCTGTATATGCATGGAAAACCATCAGCTTCCTGCTTCCCCTGGAAGCAGGACCGTGGGCAGCTGTGTCCACCCAGACCAAGGTCCCTTTCACAGACCTCCTGTTCTGCCCAGGAGCTTCCCTGCAGACTGCTCACGGCTCTGCTGCCAGTGTCTGTAGAAGCAGACATCTCTGGAGACCGTGAGCCAGACCCAATGGTTTAAACACGAAGCTGGACCTCACGGCAAGCATCAAGCTGTTCTGGGCTACAGACAGAAGTTCCAGGGTGACAACCACTCTGCTCTTTCCAAAAGCTACTCCAGGGCTGTAGTGTGAGTCTAAAGCTAGGCTAAATGTGCTGTGTAGCCAGTGACCTGAGCGGGTGTGGAGAAGCATGCGGGGTCCCTGGCTTTCCCTGTTCCAGTTTCCCACCTGGTTGATATGAACAGAAGGAATGGAGGCCGCAGAGACAGATGAATGGCTGGGTGAATTGGGCAGGGACTTGCAGGGACCGATGGAAAGCTGCTGTTTCTTCCTTAGAGCCACCACCTTCTGAGCCACTGGAAGAAGAGAGAAAGGGACAGGGTCAGAGTCCAGAAAGCAACTTTCTTCACCCGTGAATTTCTGGAAGGCTTCAGTGAGACCCAAACCCTTCATCTGACTGATGCCAACATCTGCAGCTCAAACTGCGCCACCCTATATTAACAGGGAGGATTTCTGCAGAACACCCAACCTCGCAATCCCCATTGCCTGCCGCTGCCATGCAATGCAGCTGCAAGGGACGGTGTTTGCCTGTGGCTGTTCCAGCAGGCAGCAGGGCAGGCTTCCCATGCTGGTCATGCTGAGTCCCCGAAGGCCACCCGCTCTCTTGGGTCTCACACAAAGCAGTGACTTGACGTGGACACTGAGGAGCCACCCAGAGCCCTGGATTGCTGTAGAAGAATCTCTGGGCAGCCAGAGTCACTTCTCAGTCACCCCCTCACAACAGCTACCGGAGCCAGTTACTGAACTGAATAGCTTGGGCAATGCCACCTCCATCAGTCTGGGCCCTTGTGACCCTCACGGTCTCCAGATGTTCAAAAAACTAACATGAGGAACAACTCTCCCAGTTCCTGTGTCCTCACTGCCTGATGCCAACAGCCCAAAATCGCATTTCAACCTTCTCAATCTCCTACCTTTTCTGGAAATAATCATCTTGACCAAAGAGCATGACAGCAAACAAGCTGGGCTGTTGGGGAATTCAGCAGAACACATCGCCATTCCTCATTTTCTCTTGCACACTGGCCGGGTACCCCCACCATCACAGGAGGCGGAACCTTTCAGATGAACATGACTGAAGGCATTGGAAACATCACATGTCCAACCCAGCATGCCTCATATTGTGCACCCTTGCAATAAAGGAGCTGCCACATTCTCCTTCCAGGAAGATAGAAGATGCCGCACCATACATGTGGTGTGATTGAACCCCTTTGGAAAAGTCAGATGCTGATAGCAACTGCAAAATCCTGCCACCTCACAGCTGCAGTGCCATGTCCCGCAGAGAGACAGATGAAGGCCTATTGGGGCACTGCTGCTACCTGCTTGTCTGATAAAGCTGGGAGTCTGTCCAGACTCCCAAGCTAAATATTAGTCCCGTAAATAGCACGAACCCCTCCTACACCCACCAAACAGACCATATTAACCTGCTGTTTTTCCTGCTCTCCTCCCCTCCATCCTTTCCTTTGGACAGCTTCATCCACTGTTCACTGCGTAAAACCACCTCTCCTTCAAACACTGGCCAGGCACATTGCGAGCTCAGGCACCCCAGCTCTGCACCACGCCTGAACCCCATGTGTTGGCTGCCCGTGAAAGGCAATATGAGGGACTGGCATTGCTACAGGGATGGGACACGTCCTCTGCTGACCCCCCCCAGACCCCACAGGCTGTGGTACACAACGGCTTTAACCTAGGCAGGTCAAAACACAGCCTGGCTGACACACTGCGAGGTGTTGGGCTGTTTCCACAGAGAAGGCAGCCTGGGAGGAGATGTAGAAATTGGGCAGGTCTGACACAGGGGAAATTCAAACTCCCACATCAGAGGAGCAGTTAGGGAAGGAAGAACTTGGAAATTACCCAGCATAGAATAAGACAGGTAAGACCTATTCTACCACACAAGCCTGCGGGGCTCATTCTTTGTGCTGCTAAAGTGATAATGAAAACTACCTGGCCAGACCCCAGACCAGACAGCTTCCCTGGCTCCGTGGAAGCACTGACTTCAGGAGAGCAGCACCCGTGTACAGCAGCTGACAGCCTCTCCCAATGGGACCAGCCACATCCCCACAGACTCAGAGGGTGAGCTCATCAGTGCAAACCAAAATTCCCACAACAGGACACACAGTACCTAGGAATCGTTGTCAGGGACACGACAGGCAGAAAGCCACTTCACACGACGACATCTGAGCACCCACAGCAGAAGTCAGACAGTTCCAGAAACCTTATGCAGAGCAGGGTCCAAACTAGATCGGACATGGCAGGAGAAAGGAAGTCCTGCATGACCACAGAGAAAGCCTTTTCACCTTCCAGGGCAGAGGACTTTGCACCATTCAGGACAGCCTCCCAGAGCTTCACTGGAGAAGGTAGATTCAAGGCAGGAGGTTTCTCAATATCCAGAATACAAGTAGGTCCAATTTTAGAGGAAGAGGCAAGATGAGAATGGTCTCTTGAAACAGGGAGGTTGAGAAGACCACCAGTGGGAAAAAGAGAGGAGGCCAGAAAAGATTCAGGAAAACTCGTCAGCAATTGTTGTCCTGGGCAAAGAGCCTGGCAAAGGCTCTGCCTTGTCACTCACACATTAGTGGTAACAAAGGAATTAATCATGAGGCCAGCAAGACCACACTGGTGGTGATAAAATCTCACCAACCCTTAACTGAGGCATCTTGAGGTGGCCTTCGCATTTCTGCTTGCCAGGCAGAGGTTCCTCCACTTCTTGAACATCAGCCAGATTTTTTCAAGGATAATTTCTGTCATCCTCTAAGCCAGCATCTGGGATCATTTGCTTGTCACGATTTCTTTGGCTGCTGCAGGCAGCTCTGTGATATATAACCAACGAGCCCTGCCCTGGCCACAGAACCTCTGTCCAGATACATTGCTTGGCATTTGTTTGCCAAATGTCACATACTGTGCTCCTGTGTGTATTAGCACTTGAGCATTACACGGTATTTTAAAGCATACCACAGCACTCTGTCCTAGATGTTCTGGAGAAATCCCTCTGCAGACACTGCCAGGAATGGCCAGCTCTGGGAGGAGTACCTCTGTCTGTACCCAGAGGTACAGACAGAGACGGAGGTGCATGTGGAGGTCCCTGGTGATGCACCAAGGACCCTACAGAAAACACCGTGGGGTGGGGTGGCATCTTATGGAGTCGCAGGGCCTTGCACACCCCCCTGTGCACAAACTCTGGGCCTCTTTGTTGAAATGCTCCTGCCAAACCATTCCTCAGAAGCATCACTCACTGCCCTGGAAGACATGGCCATACTGTCGATCACCCCGATGGCCAGGAACAAAACAACTCACACCCGAGCAGAAGGAGGGACACCTGCTGCCCAGCTGTCCCACTCAGGTTGCAGAAACCCAAACAAACCCCTAGGCAGGAGAGCCAGAACCACCCTTGGGCTTTCAAGATGAAGTCCAAGTCTGCAGCCCTGCGGCTGAGGAGGAACGATGGAGAGCAGCAATGCCACCAGCACATCAGCAGCAGGTTCTGGCAGGCCATAGAGAAGGCTGCCTCACACTGCCGCCTGTCCTCTCTGATGCTCAGGGCCAGTGGGAGGAGAGGAGCGCTCACCCTGGACTTGCTGCAGAGGTAAAGCTAGAGAAGCCATCCACAACACCAGGCAGCATGGCTGCTGTCCCTCCTGTGCCCTTCCAGGATCGGGCTTGGATCACTCTTCCTCTTCAGGAACAATGCCGAGATAATCACTGCCAAGGGGCTCTTGACAATTTGCTCTCTAACCTTTGCTTGGTACAGAAATATCCTTAAGGATATTAAGGATAAGGCACCCCCACACTGATGGCTTCTTGCTACTGTCCTGGCATCCTCTAAACTCTAGGAGATTTCTGCATACAGGAGCTCTGTGAAGGCAATTTTGAGAAGAAAGCTCTTTAACCGCACCTCTCCAGAGCCAAGAAGTCAGAAGGTGTGTTCAGTAGCAGCCTCCCACCTCACTGGGAGCTCTGCTGTGAGTGAGGGGACCACACTGACTCACCTCTCAGGGTGGGCTCACCCCTGGTGAAGTCCTGAAACTGCAGTTGGTATCTGCTGGGTGCTGGACGCTGCAGCACACAGCCCAGCCTGTGTCACTCTTCCTGCTTGTGCCAGGGTCGTGTCCTCGTGATATTTGAAGCCACAGGCAGACTGTCCCATCTTTTCACAGAAGCAGTAACTGTGACAACATCTGGTGCTGGAAGCAACTTGGAAAGGATGAGAGAAGTGCAGTTCCTACTCAGCGAACTACGTTCCCATGGGGACTTTTGCCAGACCACACGTGAGAAACCAGCAAGGCGAAAGTTACCCCTTTTCTGCACGCCATGCATCCTTTTCACAGTGACCTTCAGGAGCCTGACTCCCTGGACAAAGCCTTCACCACTCCAAAAGGTTCAACACAATTACAGTGGTACACACTGTAACATATGTGGTCTCGGTCCCTGCACAACACAACCACAAACTTAGCTTCAAACCAAATACCCAGGAACTGCTCTAGGCATGGACGAAGGGTCTCTGCTGCACCTGCCTGAGCAGGAAGGAGGGCACCACAACAGCTGGAGCCACCCAATTCTTGGAGAACCTCTAGACAGTCAGTGAATGTGTACATCCGAGGTTCTCCTTCTTGGAGCTTCCCCCATGCTCAGCAGCACCACATGCAGACTGTGGGGCGTTTGCAGAGACAGCAGCTTGGGAAGGAAGAGTGCTAGCCTCAGCCTTCAACTGAATACTAAGAGGTAGGATGGTCGCTCCCTCAAGCTATCATGCTAGACCAGCATGACATTAACTTGCTGTCCAAAAAGGTTAGTGATTGCTTGTTGTTAGACAAGACAGTGGCATGGAAGGGGTCTCTGGGAACAGAGGTGCAGCATATGCTCTGCACAGCATGGACAAGCAAGCAAATCTTTGCAGTGAAAGCAGAGACCACCGCTTAGAGAAGTCTTCCTGTTTCTGCTGTGGAAAATTGACATCTTCCCCTGCCTGCATGGGGCAGGTCTACCACGATCTGGGCTGAGCAACTTGTGTTGGAGAAACCATATAAAGATGAGGTCTGGCTGGTAACTGGATTGCTATGAGGGGCAAGCTCCTCACACAATCCACGACTGCCAGCACTCCACCAGATCCCAAACCAGATGCATCAGGACCCACCAGCGCTCATAAGGAAAAGTCGCTTACCCACTCTGAAAACACCTCATCCCATAAAGTCAGCTTCATCTGAAACAGGATCCTTGAAGTCCCCAAATAGTTCTCAGATGCCAGTGACGTCTGGGGCCGATGTGTTGGGCTCAGCTCTCCTCAGCTCCTCACCAGCACCTCCTGCCCCATTCTTTCCCTCCCCACAGCTGTGCTCAGGAGCATCTGTTTGGTCCTGCAGTTGAGCAGGCAGGTGAGAGCACTGAGTACCTGAGATTCACTCCAGATCTCCTATGAGATGGTGGATACCTCTGCTCCATTTGCAGCTCCCAATTATCACACTGCTTTCTCCAGAGCTCCGAGCAGCACACTCCACAAGGGCACCGATACCGGCAAAACTGCACTGGCAGCTGTGTGGCACCGCGTGGCACACAGAGGCAGCCTACCGCAGGAAATACAGCACAGCACAGGGAACCACAGCAATGCAGGCAGCTCCTGCATACACAGGCTCAAAGGCCAGAAGCATCTCTCCATTTTCCAGGCTGACCTTTGTATACTGCCAGCCATTAAACTTCACCCAGCCTATACTGCGCCAGTCATCTGGGTATGCGGCGAGTCTATTCCACAAAGGGACTTGGTCTGGATTTGGAGAAAGTACAAGAGATGCAGAATACAGCACTTCCCTATGCATTTTTTCCAACAGTTAATGAAAAGAGTAAGGATTCTTTAAAATTTGAATTTGACTGGCTTTGGCTTCTAGCATTAACTCTCTGCTAGCCTGCAGAGTCTTAGTATCTGTGATTTTCTCCCCATGTAGATAGGTACGCAGATATTCTTATATTGTAATCAAGTCACCTCTCAGCCTTCTTTTTGATTTATTCAATGGATAATCTCTTTTAGTATCAGGTATCTCACTATCAGGTATTTTTTCCAGCCTTTGATTAATTTTTGTACCTTTTTTTTTTTAATCTTCTCGGTTTCTCTGTGTCCTTCTGAAGTGCTGACACCTGAGTCTGACAACACTCCAGCAACAGTCCTCCTGCTGCCCTGTACGAAGGCAAGAATCTATCTGGACTTCCACTCGGTGCTCCCCTGCTTACTTGTCCAGGGATAGCATCAGCCCTCCCGGCAGGGTAGCCCATGCTCCTTGTTCCGTACAGCATCAGCATTTGCCCAGATTGACATCAGTTTTGCATGAACAGTCTCTGATTACCACACTCCTTGGGGTCTTCTGGATTTCCTCAGCCTCACTGCTCTTCACATGGACAAACCCACTCTCTTGCCTCCTTCCTGACCACATGTACAGGCCATGAATAAACCCAGACAAAAGATGAAGCACAGTACTTTGCAGGCGCTCACTCCTGAGCCTTCAAGCAGCAGCTCAAGGTCTACCACTAAGCTTGCTAAGCAGCACTGGTGCTAGAAGCTGAGTCCCGGTTCAATTCATTCCATCTTGAGATAAAAAAGGATGAGAAGCAGCATAACAAACAGCAGCACCTTCCCCAGCCCCTTCCCAAACCCACCGGCTGCTATTCCTCACTGTACTGTCCTTCAGAGAAGGGACACGACAGAACCAATTTGAAGGAATAAGCTGAACAAATTTGGTGACACACAGTGCCAAACGTTTCCAGAAGCCAGGATCAGCTGTGCACACAGCCCACCTGCTGTTGCTCTCTCCAGATCTGCTCTGAAAATCGCTGAGTTGGTTTAGCAGATCCTCCCCTTCCAGGTCTGCTGCAATATTCACTACCCTCAACTATTCCCAGCTGTTCCTTCCCACCATTCCTCCATTACTCATGAGGAGGAGAAAGAAGGGGAGACTTACAAGCAACCTGCCCAACAGGGTTGCCCCAGGAATACCAAACCAATGCAGAGGCTGATGGATGCTGAGGGGTTCCCTGCCAGGGGCCAGGTGGGACAGTTTGAAAGGTCACTCTCTGGGCTGACTTCTCAGATCGTCTCAGAGGTGGACCAGCAGCAGAAGAAGGGAACATCTCTACATGCTTCTGCATAAGAAAAGCAGCACGGTGAGTATGATCCTCAGCCCTGCAACAGGAGATTACCGGAAGGTCACAGACTTACACAGGGGGAAGGAGGATCACCAGCTCCAGCTCAGAGGACGAAGGAGGCACTTGAAACTGATGACAGGCTCAGTCCTGTGCCTTGCCCTCAGCCTATCTTTCTGTGCTGCAATGAACCACGCTGCATTTTTGCCTTCAGGCAGTCCTGCTGCACTATTATTTCCAAACTCTCTTCCATGCACCTGTTCCACTTGCAAACGCTAACAGCACAGCTCTCCTCCTTTCTAAAAGCAACTCTGTCCTGCCCAGCCACTCAGCTCTGAACAGACCCTTCCTCATGCATTGAACACAGATCCCCAGCTGCACTCCAGAAGACAAGGTAGAGAAAGGGAACAGGGGAATATGCAGTCCTGTTATAGGGCAGGGTCCCAGTTTATTTAAGCAGACTGCAAACTCTTAGGATGTTGTGTAGGTTCCCTCTTCCACCTACACCATCCCTGTCACACAGACTCCTCTTCAAGTCTAAGCAGAAATACTCTTCCACACACTTCCCATGAGGAACAGCTGCCCCATCTAGCCATCCAGTTGCTGTTCTCCTATCTCTAACACCCAAAGGTTCTGCTGTGCTTCCTCCTCTCCTCTACGAAAGGCAATCAAAACCCCCTCTGCAGCCTCACAAGTCCTCTGCAGGCTCACAAAGACTGTTGTGCTGCACAGGTCCACCATGGGGATGCAACCGTCCCCTGCAGCCTCTCTGCTCTCTGGAACAGGTGGCTACCCAGAGGACAGCCCTTGCAAGAAAGGCAGAAGCGTGCTGCCCAGCCCTGCTCTGCGGTCCCTCATGCACATCTACGTGCAGTTCACCTACATGCCACACACACATAGGAATCCTTCCACACACACAGCACGTCCTACTCCTTGGACCTGGTCTGCGTGTGTAAAGCAATGGCACTGCACACAAATGTGTGCCTAACTCCCCTGGCCTCACAGCAGCACACCATTCTAACCAAGAGCCGGCCGTCTAGGTAGTGTAAGCCCCCTTCTGGGACAGCACTGCTGCCCTGTCTCGCCTGGGCACCCTCCACTAGCTGCAGTTACCATCCTGGAAGACTCTCTCCACGTTCAGTCCGTAGGTGGCACAGGTCTCGTAGTACGTGCAGCGCTTCAAATCATTGGAAAGCTTCCGCGCCCGAGAATCATCAATGACCCGGGGGTTTGTGGCGCTGATGGCATCTGGAAACCAAAGGGATAGGAGGTTAAAAGCAAGCGCCTGTGTCCCATCTATCCACAGGTCCCAAGGCACACTCCTGACCTCCTTCCCTCCCTTCACACACTGAGATACCCACCTTCATAGTATGTCCCCTGTCCTATAAATGCCTTGGATTATAGTCCCACGTTTGTAGAAAAATGGATTTGTTAAATGAACCTTTTTACATGAACTGTTTTTTAAATGAACCTTATTCAACGCTCCTAAGCATCCAGCCACTGACATTTCTGAAGACAGAGGGCAGAAACCAGTGGGAGGTGTGGCTGGCAAGGTAAGGCAGCCTGGATGTTAGGAACGGGACACACCACCACAATTTCACACAACCATGTCGTGAACAGTGCAGCTGTTGAAGACAACAGGACACTCAGTGATGGCAGACAGAGCACTGGGGACAAAGGTGTAAACAGCCTGACCTTGGGTCCAACTACAGCCTCATCTGCATGAGGATGCACAGTGTTTACAAGCTTTAGAAATGACTAACGTTGCCATCTGTCAATGTGTCACTGGTCACGGCTGCTGTAACAAGCAAGCGCACTCATCTGCAAGTCCGCCTCAGTTGCAGAGTAAAACGGATTTGCCAGTCTCGATCATTTTAGGTCTCACAGCCATACCCTACAGATTTAAAGAATCAAAAGGGAGAAATCATCCTCAGTTAATTGGGAAAGACAGATCTGCTAGGATGCACTCACAGTTGAGGCCTTGGTGGACAACACTAAAAAATAGGCTTAATTTGTATCGCAGATGGCTGCTAAGTGCTCGCATGTTTTGGAAAAACTACTTTCCCAAGAGGAATCCGATTCCTTGAAGACATGCCAGGGACAAGAAAGGGCTGTAAATGAAGGAGGAGTTGAAAGAGTACTGGGACTCGCATTGTAAAGAAGTCCCCCTCGAACTCTCTAGTCACACACAGCTTAGTGTGACTGTACCAAGGCTGTGACCTCACCTGGCTCTAAGTCTGGGACAGCAATGATCACCGACCCCTCTGCCATATCACTCTTCCCCACTCCGGAGCCTCCACAGCAGATGCCTGCAACCCCAGCCTAGTCCTGAACCAAGATCACTCAGTCCTAACGTTAATTCCACAATCTTTAAATATCAAAAGTTTAACAATTTTGTTCTACACTTAATCTGGGGTGCAGAGCAGACACCCCTGCAACTCCCCTCCCACTGTCACCGCCTGTCTTCCCAGCCCCAGTTTCTTCTTTGCCAGAATGGGTCTCACTGCTCAGGAACAGGATCCTGCCAAGACCTTTTTCCCTTGCATCATCCGACCCCTGCTCCCACTCCCTGCTGTCACTCTTACATCCAGACAACTTCTGCAGCCTCAGGCTCCCTCCTGCCTGTGCTTTACCATCTACAG